GAATCTCTCAAATTGTTTCTCTTGAAAACAAAAAAGAGTTAGGGGGGATCTGATTGAGGTGTTAAATATTGTAAAGGGAATTGATAGTGTTGGTAGCATCATCTTTTTTTCATATTTAACAGTGAGAATAGTGGAACTAGGGGGCACAAATATAAATTTTGGCAAGATAGGAGTCATATTCAGCTAAGACAGTTTCATTTTTCTAACAGAATGGTTGGCCTTTGGGTTGCCTGCAGATGTTATAGAGGCAGTAAATTTAAGTGAGTTTAAGAAAAAGCTTGATAAGTATATGAATGATAAGAGCTGGCTTTTAGATTTTATTTTTACTGTTTTTAATTATTTTAGTTTAGTTTAGAGGATGGAAGAGCCGAGATGCACCAATAGGTCCCAAAACAATATGTTATATCATTTTTCACTTGAACAAAATACAGCCAAAATCTTCAGAACCTAAATTTTAAGTACATTGACTCGGAAATAGCTATATTATTGTTCTACAAATTTGAAGTAAAATTGAAATAGCCAAAATACAGAAATTGACCAAAAAGCAAATAACCCATTCAGCATTAGGGCAGTATTAGATGGGTAAAATTTATCGTGCGATACGATAACATCACAAAAAAATCTAGTCAGCATGGATTGTAGAGTTTTATACATATATTATGAATTGATTTTGGTGTTATGCACTTCTAGTTACTTTTTCATAAAGAACTGGCATTATTAATGTATAAGTTACTTCTTGGTTCCATTGATTATTTACTTTTGATCAACGTAATAGGCGTACTTGGTTGAAAAATTCCTGAAACATGTACTGTATCCTAACAACAGCAAAACAGAACCAGAGAAAACCTTCAATAACCGCGGCACTTCAAATTCGTTTAGGGAGGATTAAATTAATCTATGAGGCCTTTTTTTCCCCTTTTTATTGGCTATATTTTTACGCCAGTAACACCAAGGGTGGGGCGCGCGTATGCTCAATTCAATTTTATTACTCAACAGCCTACCCTCAAATTGAAATTATTATAGGCAGGATTTGAGTAAATTAATTTATAAAACCTTGGGCATAGTCATATACATCGATCGAAAGGGTTTGACCTCCTGAGTCCAAAACTGTAATTAGACCTCAAATCAGGCCAAGAAATAACGGAGCTATGAGCTAAAAGTTTGTACTTGGAAAACTCAAGAGTCATTCTATGAACCGCTATGCTGTGAATAAAAATCAAATGCTTTGGACCTATAATTGTATACAAAGATACTTAAAGTAACCCAAAAACCAGATTCGATATTCATTTCTTTAAAAGTTTCTACTTCTAAAATCCACACCCTCGGTGACTCAGCAGTAAGCTTAAGAGCTTATAACGCTAAAATCTGGGATTGATACCAACGGTGGGCACAGGCCGCACAGCATAGTTAATCGTTTGTATAGCTTTGCGCTTAAACACGAAGAAATAAAGCTCTATAACAATATTACAAAATGTATTAAGTTTGCACCGCAGTTATTACCATACGTTTCGAATATGTCATGTCCCTAAAAAATAGGTTCTCTTTCTGAATTAGAATAAAAACTAAGAAACTAAACAATATAGTACTCACCACAATAAGACACGTCTAAAGTTCTCTCGCTTGTTTTGATAATGAATAATCTTTTCCGTTACAGCACAGCCTATATAGTATTACCCATAGTGAAATATTTACTTAAGGTACATGTATATATTTGTTAGGCAAGAAAGGTTAAAAAATAATCACTTATCTACAAAAGCACATTCAATTGTCGACAAGGTACACAACTCCAACGATTTCTTGGCTGGATTTTTAGATATGTTTGGTTTGTCGATATACCATATATATTTATCGTGTTCGGCAATACTTTTGTCTCTTTATTGTTTTTCGAATGAAATGAGCGTATATTACGAAACGACCATGTTAAAAGTTCATTCTAACAAAGCAATACTCAGAACGAACTTTCAGCTTAGCTCTTCTTAGTATCTGTTCAATTTAAAAACAATAATGTATAAACAGATAAAACTATTGCTGAACAAATAATAATATACATAACATACCAAGAACTAAACATGGCTGAAAAATCAGCCAAAATACCTGTCCGGTTAAAATCCATGATGGAATTATTCATTTCGATGAAAACCAGTTTAGTATTTATTCTTTTGCTTAGATTTTGACTACAACTACAACTAGAGAAGCAGGTTTTGTATAAATCCACTTCTTTTTGAGGAATTTTCCTTGTATGCAGAGAGATATTTTATATATTGGCTTTCCAAACCGAATTATAAACATATAAAAGTGTCGCTTGCCTAAAGATTATAATTTAAAAGAATGCATAGCTTAAAGATAGAGGAAAACTTAGGACTCTGAGATTAAAAACGATAAAATAAATGGAAGGAAATTTTAATTTTATAATCTTCCATGCAAAATGTTGCTTGAAAGATTTTCACTTATATATTTTGTTCAATATTCAGTAAAACACAGAATTATGTTTTTCAAATTTGCTTAGTTTTGTTTCATTTTTTATCTGAGAAGTGGACAAATGTATTCTTTTATAGTAAAAGTGCTATACTTAAAATAAGTTCACTAAAATGTTTCTGAAAACTATCTATACAAAAACTGAAAGATTATTTCAAGTGATATTTTCCACTTATTTATATGTTGCTAATCTACAGGTTAGAGAATTAAAATTGCTTAAATTACTTTGCTTAAAAATAATACTTATGTTTCTTTGTGATTTGATATTAAACTTTCATTTTCAATCCTGTATTATTAGGCTAACAATATTGAAATGTGATATGTTCGTACCCTAAACAACTTGATAATTTTTCTTTTTTAATAGGGGCCCTACTTTATAGAATGTTAATGTAGTCTATATTTTGCCTTTATTTAGATGGAGGTGTGTGTCTGAAACAATTGCAGAGTTGTAAAGTTTCGTACTTCAGAAATTCTTAATCATTCCTCATGTTTCTCATATTTTTTGAAAGCTTCAGATAAAAGGAAGAATGTATATTAAGTTGTATAATGTATAATCAAGTGTAAAAAATTATATAAAGCTTATTATATAAAGCAGTGGTTAGAATACTGGATATTATGGAAAGAAAGGTGATTGGGAATTATCTAGACAAGTATCGACATTAATGTCCACATATAAATTCATGCTCAATCTGTTAATCTATACATTGATCAAATACTCCTCTGAAAATTGTATATTTTTTATCCTGACTGTGATATTATTTTATACTAAAAGAGTCTGAAAAAGTAATGTCCAAGCCATTCAATAGAATAAGGTGTTATTTCAAGAAGCAAAAAAATTTGAAAGTCATTGTTGAATACAATCTTAAAATAATGACATAACATAATAACATAATATTTTCGGACAACATGAGACCTATTGGTCCATCTCAGCTGTTCAATCCTCAAAACTAAATTAAAGTAA